CCTCCCTTTAAATCTCAGTATTTCAAATTTTTAAGCCTGGTTTAATATTTCTTAACACTCAGATTGTGATGGTCCTTCAGTGTGACAACTCTTTTGCTTCCAAATGCACCACAAAAAGATATTGTTGCTTTAAGAGAACCAAGAACCCTGCCTACTAAGAATAAAGTGAGTGTCACAAAAGTCACTGAAACATTTCTCACCTCAATGACAAAATTGTGGGAGGAAGGATTTACCTAACACACAATCTGGGAAGTTTTCCAAAATCCTTTTTTTTTTTAAGAAGTGTTTAGTCTGACACCATTCCCTCCAAAGCCCTAGAGAGAGGCTAGAAATGAGGATAGTGCATGAATGAAAAAGACCTCCTAAAATCCTGTTCCAAATTATGGTTCGTATCACTTGGTTTCAACACATATCTGCACTGCAACCACTGAAACTCCAATGCAGTACATTGCACTACTGTCTTTCTCAGCACATTCCTACTGGCTGACATTTTATATGAACATGTGTGAAATCTGTACCAGAAGACTCATCTGTCACACATCTCTCTCACACACCAAGGGTTGTTTGCATTTTCTTCTGATGTTGTTCTTTAAAAAAAAAAAAAAAATACATACTGCTGATGACAAGACACTAGATGAGAAGGATATTTGATCTGATTTAATACGGCAATTGCTTGATCAGCTATTTTATTAATTTATACCATTAGTGTTAACTGTAACCAGTAACTGGAAACAGTTTGTTGCTAATATGTGCACACCCAGGAGCTGTAGTCTTGCTCCTGCTTCATCAGGTCCTTTCCAGCTGTTGTCCAGGTAAGCTTTCTTCTATTTTATTCTTTTCCTTTAAAAAGGAAAAACCTTTAAAACACCACCAACTCCTGACTCCGTCCAGCTGTGCTCTGCATCTAGTGGCTCCACAGCATGCCCAGCTTAGCCTGACAGCCACAGGGACCAAACCTCCTCTGCTGGACTTCATGTTTCATTGCAACTTCCTTCTAAATTACATATTTTGACTGCAACTCCTGGCTCAACCTAGCAGTTCTCAGGATCAATCCAGCCATTATAATTCAGTATATAAATCACACTTTCCATGCTTTTGCAGTAACCTCTTCAGACCTTCAAACAAATCAGGTACACTTTGTATGATTTTTATAAATTCTGACTGGAGCATTTCAATCCAGTCCCAATCACATTGTCCATGCAAGTTGCTCCTGCATTCTGGAAGGAAAAAATGCAAGCAGAAGAAGTGGTTCCACCAACAGCCCAATTCCTAAATTTAGTTCCCCTGTCTCTTTTCAGTCACAGCTTTTTGAGGGTAAGCTGTTCTATCTCACAGTGATTCTTCATACACACACCCCTCCCATTGCACGCAGGGAATCCTGACAGCATCGTACCTAGACAGTCACCAAGCTCCCCAGAGGAGTTGCTCTGTGGCTGCTTTAGTCACACATTCAAGAGCTAGAGAAATTCCCTCCTTGGATTGTGCCCCTGGGGAAAGCTAGTGGAAGCATCAGGCCTAGAGAAGCATAAGAAATATTGCTCTGTTGTGAAATTAGTAACTGTGAAAAGGGAGGAGTAACAGTTCCTTATGTTCTCTCTTTCCCAACACAGAACTGTGGTGTCAGGTACAGCCCAATCCCAAGTGGATGCCTTCCTTTCAGAGATAACAGAGCTCCTTCCTCTTCATGTAATTTATGCTGCATATCCATTTACTTCCATTGAGTATTTATGCTCCAAACAATAAGGGAAAAAAAAAACAAAAAACCACATCACTGAGAAATTACAAAATCGTTTTCTTTTTGTGAATAATCCACTTAGAGTTGCCTCAGAAATTTATTTATTTTTTTTACTTCTACACACCTTTTAAGGAAACTGCAAGGAAAAAATACAGAACTGAGCAGACAGGTTCAGCAGTAAGTGGGACAAAAAATGAACAATAACACATTGTCCTCTCCCAGGGACTCATTTATGTATTTTAATTGTTTATCACTATGATTTCTCCTTATTTTGTAATATACTATTGTTTTATTTCTTTTTTATAAGAAAGTGGAATTCCAAGGAAATAAATTTTATATTTTCCTATTTCTTAAATAAAATTAAATGTAAATTTACACAAATTCAAAAACCACACATGTAATCACCTAAATCTAAATAACCTCAAATCTTCATCTCTTTCAAAATGTTTAAATATTAAAATGTTCACAACGTTTAAAAGTTTGTTCTGCATATGTAGCAAACAGACTAAAACAGAAAGATATGACAACAATCTGCCTGTTATCCAATGTCACAACTATGTTTCTCACTCAGAATAACCAGTCTCTCAAAAGAGTAATGTATATCACAGATTCTCTCAGTTTTCATTACTACACTATCTCATTTTCTCCAGGGAAATTATCTTTGAACAACATATCACTCTGCCCTTGGAACCATCAAACTGACATTTGACAAAACTGTGGAAGGCTCGCAAGTTAAATTTAAAACTCTGTTAAACCTTGCCTTACACATCTCATTGAGCTCTAACCTCCCATGGAAACAAATAGGAAGGGCAGCATCAGAGGCTGGTGGGAAAGTTTCTAGCACTGGTCAGTATATTATACACGGAAAAAATATCCATCTCCCCTTTATCTGCAAGCAGAAAAGTTCAAGGAGTATATAACCTGCTGTAACATAAAGGGAAAAAAAAAAATAGGTTACTGTACTGATCTTTGTGCTCAGAACAATTTGTGTTGTATAAACAGATGCACATTGTGGTGGAGTTTTGCCAATGTATTCAATGTTCTTGTTTGCCACCAGTATCAACAGCCTGTCATGGTATAAAACAGATGCAGCATTTTTCAAATCATTCTAACCCTATGTAAATATGGATTAATAAAATGACAGCTAAGAACATATTGATTAGCAGGAATTAAATAAATTAATAGGCCATTATCTTAAATTAAGTTTTGACCTTAATTATGATTGAAGCTGTGAAAACTTAACACTTCACTGAAATCCCACAATAAACTAATCATATGCTACAACTTATCTAGGACTCGAGGGATGAAAGTTGGCAGGATTATGAGGACAGTCTGCTTCAGCAAGGTCAGCTGTTTTTTAGGTCAATAAAACATAACAGAAATTGCACCTCAACTGCTAAACAAATGTTTCTGCATACCAACCATTGAATTCCTGTGAAATCAACCATAATGACAACCTCATCACATAATACCTTTCTTTAAGCACTTTCTGGCTAGATTTTCAATCAATGCTGAGTATGTTCTGATAGAAATGTCAGAGTGGTCACATTCAGACAATTTCAGCATAACCAATTCCAGAGTAGAAGCATTTAATTAATTTCTGGAAGAAAGAAAGATGTATTCTGAAAATAAATTGTTTAAGAATGTTTATAATTCAGCTGTCATAACTATCCATTCAAGCACATTAAAATGTCCTTGTAGTAGACAGACAATAAGAAGAAATTGTTCATCTGATTCATTACTGCGGTCAATAAGACTCAAATTTAAGAAACAAAATTTTCCCGCTGGAAAATCATAGAATCATCATAGAATCTTAGGAGCTGGAAGGGACCTCGAAAGATCATCTAGTCCAACCCCCCCTGCCAGAGCAGGGTCCCCTAGAGTACATCACACAGGAACGCATCCAGGTGGGTTTTGAATGTCTCCAGTGAAGGAGACTCCACAACCTCCCTGAGCAGCCTGTTCCAGTGCTCTGTCACTTGCAACTGTGAGGTTGCACACATTATAAAGGCAGATCAGATCTTTGCCACAATTCTAGTCAAATGCGCTGCATGGCAACCTCATACCTGAAACCATATCTGCAGATGCAAAGCTTTGGTATCTAAAATCCACTTGGGAGAGCTTTGCAGCATTCACCCTCCTTTAAGAAGTAAACTCTTTCTACATTGATAACGATTGAAACCCAGGTCTGTTTCTGCTGGAAGCAAAGTTTCTTTGGTACAGGACACAAGTTTCAACCACCAACTTACAAAAATAATTAAAAAAACAGCTTAAGAGTGTAGAGCTATCTGAAATATCTGCCATGGGGAAGAAAAAAAAATAATAATTAAAAGTTGCCTTGTGAAATGAATAGGGAAAGGAAGAAGCAGACAAATCTGTAGTCCAAGTCATATGAAGTTATTAGTTTCTAAAATACCAATAAGGTGTTTTAAGACGTCACTAAAACACATTTTACAGTAATTCATGAGCATGAGAAAGAAAAATGAACTTCAGGGCTTACTAAGAGAACATTATGTTGACTGTAGACTGCAAATCATCATAATTCTTCATCAGATTATAAGATTACTGCAAACCAGTGCACAAGCACAAACACAAGGATTAGCTAAACTAATCTAAAACCTAGAAGAAAGCAAAATATGAATCTGACTAGAGGATGCTATATACAAACACAGCATGTAGAAGAGACACACAGGTACATCTCTCTTGCAGTTATGTGCTGGTTCAGACTCTGGCCAGCACAAACAGCAAAAAGTTTCTAAACCAGAAGCCAAACCCCTCCAACTCATCCTATCATGTTTCCAATAAGAGAAAAAGTGATGATAGTGAAGTCAGTTTCTGATCTTAAACTATAAATCTCTCCGTATAATCTTATTGTTCCATCCACTACCTACTGGTTTGGACTGTCTACTAAAAAGTTATTCCCATTGTTGAAGTCCCTAAACAAAGATAATAAAAAGTTAATAAAACTTAAATAAGAAAAAAACATTCACACAAAACAACATATAAATTGAATATGTTGTTAATAAGCATTTTTTTCTTACAGACTTTTGACAAAAGCATTCACTTGCTGTAAAGTTTCTGATCTAGAAAAAACTAGAACAAAAACTTCACAATAGAGACAAGCAGAATAAAAACAAAAACAACAACAAAAAAAGAGACAAGTAGAAGTTATTAGTATGAAATCAAAATGGCCAAATAAATGAAGCATCAATGAAAACCTTCACTGTGGAAGGAGCAATTAAATAGGAGAGCAGAAAATACTGACCTGGAAGTCAAGCTGGTTCGAGCAGGGAAGAAAGCAGCAGTGTGGAGAAAAACATAAGGAGGAAGACAGCAAAAGAGAATAAAGGGAGGAACACATTAGTTCTTTAAAAACATGACAACCAACAGCAAATTTTATTAAAATAAAATAAAAGGAAAGGGAGGAGAAAGCAAGAAGTAAAATAAAATTTCTATAGCAATATGACCTTTTTCTGTACTAAATAAAACAAAAAGTTCAAAGTAAAATGTCACCTTGACATTTGTGGACTGTGGAAAACCATCCATATTTATAACCATCCAAATGCATACACAGACTTAACAGAACAAATAAATTAGGTGGATATTGGTAGTGTTTGCTGACACTCAAATGTCTCATCATATACCAAAAGTCTTCTTTTGAACCTACAAATGTTTAATAATCCACATTCCTCAAGTCTTCCCCATGAAAGCCAAACCAACTAAAAAATTGGGCAGCTGGTTCAAGGATACCATTTAGATGTTCACAAAGCATTATACCTAATTTTCAAAGACAGAGATTTGCCCCCTCCCACCCCAGAAATGTAGCCCTTTCTAGTGCTGACAGCAATTGTTTTCTTCAGTTTGAAGAATAGGGTTAACCCTTTATCACTGAAAATACTCCAATGCTTGATAAGTTATTTGTTAAAAATTCACCAACATACTCTTCCAATTAAGTAAGGCCCAAAAAATCCTAGCCTGACATCCAGCTAGACTACTCCTTAAAGCTGGCACTGGTACACAGCTTTTCACTCACTTAATAAAGAAAAATTTTTTAAAACCACAAGAATACTTTTTTTTTTTTTTTTAACATAATTATTCCACATGTTGCTGTTTTGTCATTTATGCTATGAATTGTCAGTGCTGGGTGGACTTGTTTTCATCACAATTCAAATCCAAATTCTGACTGAACTGACTGTAGTCTGAACAGCCCAAGAGCTTAAATCTGCATTAACAGTGTTATTACCCAGAACTTACCACTGCATATGAGAAGTGGACAGTAAAAAAACCCAAACTTTCTTTAAAAGAAAAGTGTTTTTTGTCTCAGAGTTATCATAGTATTTTTAAGTGAGCTTTCATATTGCTGTAAGCTTTGCTGAGAAGCTACACTCAATCAAGCAAATGACTGACCATCTAAGTTACATTATGTTCTTATCTCTTCCCCACCAAGCTACAGTATTTCACTCCTAAACTAGTGACAGTCTGATTAGGTTTACAATATTTATCCTTTCATACCTAGCTCTCTTTAAGGAGGTAGGTAACATACTAGCCTTGTTCTCTCTCTTAATATCAATCTTTGCCCAAACTCTTTCTGTGTCCCTGGGGATGAGCAAAGTTAAAAGACCACTGTGTCCTCAACTGCAGCTTGCTGCTTGACAGGCAGCCTGGTCTCTCCAGTAAGGGCACTCAAAGCAATTGATAAGGGATTTTTAAATATGGCCCTGCCTGAGACAGTAATTCTTAATCTAGTTCTCCTCCTCCAAAAACTACTTTCCTGCATGAAATTTATCATCCCATTAAATGAGGTTCCAGAGAACAACTGGAATGTTGTTTACAGTGTCAGATCCCTCCAGTGACAGGCCTCTTTGCTCCTTTTTCCTCCTCAGTTTCACACACCTCCATATACAGTGTCTTTTTTTCTCCCAGCTGTTCTGACTTGGTCCAAAGGGCACAATGCAGGCTATTGGATACCTGTGTTTCCTGCATTCTGAGAGCACTCAGTTACAGTTCTCATCCCTAAGAAATCCCTCAATATAAAAACAATGTGCTTGCATAGATGTTTATGGAATGTTAAGTGAGGTAAAGTTAACACAGAGAAATGACATGCAGACAGGTTGCTAGCAGCCCACTGTCCTTGTAAGAGCACAAGACTCTGAGGACTGAACCTGTGTACACAACTGCAGGCAGGCACACGTCATATCATGACAGTAAATTTAACAAGCTGCATCTGAAAACCAGTTGGGTTTCTCATTCCCTTTGTTTCCCAGAGCCTTCATTCCTCCAAAAATTAGAAAAATTTTTCTTCCTTTCTTTTTCAATACATCCTGTATTTATTAATGGATAATGTATATCCACAGTATTCTGTGCCAAGACACTTTTTTACTTAAATCACTCTTCCTTCACTTCAGTACTTATTTCACTTCAGCACATATTTATAGAGAACCAGCATCCCTACCAAGTCTTTGTTTTGCCAGAGAAACAAACCACTGTTGTTTAGACTCCTCCTGCAACAGCAACACTCTCTTCCCTTGATTATCCCACCAACCCTCTCTGCACCTGTTTCCAGTTTCAATTCAACCTTGGCAAATATGATGGATGAGAATTATACAGCAGAGTTTCACGTGGAGTCTCACTACAGCTTGATGACATTAATATCTTCCTATCCTTATTGCAAACATTTATTCTGACATACCAGATTCACACCTCATTATTTAGACGTCTGCTTCATTATTTAGATGGCTCACAATGACACTGCTAGAAGCAAATTCACCTCTTCCTAAACTGTATCAAGGATTATCCTTCATTTAGAGCAGACAGTCTTACTGGTCCTTCCTTCACAATCATGCATTTTGTACTATTGTATTTCACTTAATTTCCTGATTCAAACTCTGTAGCATATTTCATAAATACACTTTTCATTCTAACACCATTAATAAAAGCTTTAAACAATGTACTCTTTCCATTCTGACAGTTCCTTTTCAGCTGCAGTTACCTCACTTTGGCTAGGCCCTTCACATTAACACTTCAGCTGATCACTATCTTACCCAGCTTCATTTAGAAAAAAAAAAAAAAACTCTGCCCAAAAAATGACACCACATTTCCTTCATCAAGTAAACTAAAAAAAATATCAAGCCAATTTTATTAAAAAGACTTTACACTGGGATATACTGCATTTAGTTTTAATCTGTTCTCAGTATAAATAAATCATGTAAGATGTAATGGAAGTTATCAAAAAGCATTATTAGAGGTGAAGGAATAGGTTGTCCAATAATAAGAAGGTATCAAATGCAAAATTAATATCTATTGAGTAATTTAAGAAACAAACCAGCATGTTTGTATATATGAGGAATAGTGTGAATCTTAAATGATACAGCTGAGAAGTGTGATAGGTCCTGAGGAAAGAAAGACACATTAATATGAAAAGAATTACCATTCTTTCTGACAAATAGCAGAACATTAATATTATCTTAATTCTTATTTGAATTTGTAAATTATAACTTAATTATACATTTTTTTACTTCTCAAATTGATTTGTACTTGTACACCTCGTTATGCTAACAAATTGAGATGTGAATATAATAAATATTTAAGATACCATAGCAATACTCTAAATTATAACTCAGGAATTTGTTTATAAAATGTTGATAATTTATGTTGTTGTAATTATCTTGCAATGTAAAGATGGTGTCACAGTGAACATGGATCCCAGCAAGCTGTTAACCAGCTAAAACATTTCAAAAGAGTATTCATTCTCCTACAAAATCCCAGAGAAACCCTTGCACCTGGTTAGGGGAAGTGTTGAAGATATGCTGGCCCTGAGCAGGAAGGAAAAAAAAAAAAAGAGAGAGAGAGAGAGAGAGAAAGGAGAGAAAATAGCAACCTAGAGCTGATCTTATTAATTACAAAACAGCAGGACAAGAAGGAAAGAACAATTTCAAACATGCTTCTGTTAAAATTGCAGTATTTTCACAATGCTTTATTCCCATAAAGTGGGAAAACCGAGCTTTGGTTCCACCTCTTCTCTTCAATAATGAACTCATCTAGTAGACATTACAAATAGAAAGCACAGTAGCACTTCATAAAATGTTACAGTAATTTACACTCCACCCAACCCCCTAGAAAGGGAAATTTCAATATCAAAGTTCCCTCTCCAGGGATACCAACAGGTGGCACAGCTGTAGATCTTTAGGCTGAGGTTTTTGAAAAACAAGGAAGAGGGAGAGTAAATAATTTAAATTTTAGAGAAACCTAAGGTGAGTCTGATTTAGCAAGAAGTGTTAGATACCCACTTTAAAAATATTTCCCTATTACACCTTTATATTGCTGACTGGTCTCTGGCCTTCTGATCAACTACTGTGCTTATGCACAGTAGAAAGTAGCTTTAAGACTCCATTACCAAAGTAAAGACTGTGATTTTTGTTGATTAAGTCAATAACAGATAGTTTTTATGTTAAACCCTTTTTGTCCTAGTTTACAATTTTTTATTTATTCATGTAGTTAATGTATGGGAATTTGGAAATAATCCTAAAAGCTGTACCTACATTAAATCAAGTAAGTATCTGCACTGCAGTTAATATAATTCACAAACAAATCGTAAAGCATGACAATTTCCAAAAATGGCAACATACTAGTGTTCTTAGCTGGTCATGCCACATATATCTTATTGGGAGCATTACAGAAGGACTTAAGGATTCATAGGAAAGCTTAACTATTTCATCACATTCACAGAGCAGTATATCCTGTTCAAAAAGTCTGTGCTTACCCAGCGGTACCAAATTATTTGTTGAAAATTTAGTTCAGGATCACCCCCCTAATCAACAATAACAGACTGCAAATTGGTGCCCCAAAACTCCACTGACAAAAATGCATTGCATTTTCAAAAGAAATTATTACAAAAATAGAAAATCCTGTGCATTACATAATCTATTAGAGGATTCTCAGACCTGACCTTCTCAGAGGTTGCATGCTGACAAGGCTGAATGAAGTATCTTTGCATCCCTTGGATCCTTGTTTCTTTGCAATCATTAATTTTAAATCAATAATTCTATATTTAATTCAAATAAAGATAGCCATCTATATATATTAATTTTATATATATATATTTACTAGAAAAAAAATCATATGAAGAATTTGAAAGCATAGAGTTCCTTCTTTCATTTACCTAAGAGTGCCTAAATACAGGAAGGGAACAAAGAAATCAGATCCACATAAATTGCTAATCAATCAAATGGCAGCCCACCATATGGGAGAAGGTTCCAAGAATCATTTAAATTATAAAGTGGGAGAAAAAAGTGGATCCCAAAACCTTCCTGTGTCCATTAAGACTGTATAACCTTCCCAGAAACGAGACTAACACTGGTCAATGTCAGAAAATATTAATTTGAAGCAGACTACAAAATACCACCGAGAAATAGTTACAACTATTATTAAATAGTCATGAAACTGGCTAGAAATACTTACAAAGATTACTAAATAATGAGACTTGTCAGAAATACTTACCAGTATATTTCAGGACCTCTGAGAATTAGTAATGCTGCTTACACTGAAGACACATCAGGACAATTTTGATTTACCAGTTACGAGAAAAACAGGGTTGTTTCCCAACAAAGTTTCCTGGGAGGGTCATGGAAATAGTATAGGACTTTCCCTGTATGTGTTCCTTTTAAAAAAGTGAAAACCTTAAATGGTTCCACAGTCAGCAGACAGGAGATGCAGTTCTCAGGTAGCCACTTTTTTCCATTTCTGATTCAATTTTACAAGACATAACACTCTGTTAAAAAACACATCCTACTCTTATCTTCTCTGCCCTGCAATGAAAATCAAGTAAATAAAAATGCCACTTAATGAAAGACAAATAACATAAGAATTACCTTTCTAACTCAGCAATTTTCTTATCTTTGTCATTCTTCTCATTCTCTACTTCCTTGAGAATTTCTAGAAGTCTGTCAACCTCAGCCTGAGCTTTGCCACACTCCTCTCTATAGTACGATGCCTCTTTGTCAAGCTGTTTCATTCTATCTGCAAATTCTGGATTCATCCGTGCCTCCTCTTCAGCCTCATGAGCCTTCAGAATCAATATTTTTAAAAAACATAAACATCACAACAATTTACATAGCTTCAAACACTTTAGTTTTTCAGTCTGAGTTGACATTTTCATTAAAAAGGATTATGGGTATTTTTGGCTGATGACAAGATTTTCTACAGAAAATTTCTACTATAAATAGGAATGAAAATAACATCACAGTCTATCATTACAGTCAAATGTGACCATCCTGAAGGGAGAGGGGATTTATTATGGTTTTTACATATTGAGGTGACCATACTTTAAGGGTATTTTCTTTAAATTAAAAAAATAACCTTGTATTTAAATTGAATTCATATAAAGATTTTGAAGCATTTCAAATACATAGGCAATATGTCAACAAACACATTTTCCCTTTCTCCCATATATATACACACTTTGTCCGTGTATATATATACACACACAAATATATATATACATATTGCAATCTGTATCCCCAGATGTTTCAAATGCATTTTGATACCAAGAATTTAAAAGGAAGAAATTGTTCTTATGCAGTGCAGTTTGCAAGCCAAAGCAATTTTTAGAAAGTTACTTTCAGCAGACGTTTTACCCAATAATCCTTTTTCTTTTATCATTAATACTTAACCTGAAACATCAGAAGAACAAGCCCATTGGTGAAAACAGCACAAACCTGGCAAACACATGCATGGATGGGTGGCAGTTTCACAGACAAGAAAGAAGGCAATGAATACAACGACAACAGTGCAGAGCCCAATCTTACTCCCATCAAACCTAATGGCAAAAACCCAATTAACTTCAATGGGAGCATGATCTGGCATCAAGTGCTTTAAACTTTTGGCTGAAATAATCACAGACAGATGGAAAAAAAACAATGCACTGCAATGCTTAGCCTACCCCTTGCTTCCCATTATTCCTAATTGGCATCTTGAAAGAGCAGGCAAGGAAAAAACAAGTAGTTTAAGGCAGTGCACATGAAACATAGAAAATTCAGAAAACATTTTCTTAACACATAATTTTACAGAAATTTGTATTTAGAAGTGAAGGTCCTCCAGCCATCTTGCTACACAAAGAAGACACGGACCTACTTATCTTCTTAATTTCAGGGAACGGACAATGCAAGTAAGCAATGAAAGAAATGCAGATCAAAATGAAACATGCGTGTTTTGGAAAGAATATAAACTACAGATACTAGAAGGTTCACAGTCTTTGCAATGGTTAATTTTTCTGTATAAATAAAGAATAAGTCTGAGTTTAGTATAAATACAATTTATAAAATCGAAATTACAAGGGAAGAAACTTGGGAGGGGGAGAAGGTTGCATGTAACATATCATTTAAGCATGAGGATAATAAGAAGACAGTAGGTTTTAAGCACTGTTTATCCTACTGTGAGGTTTTTCTTGAGAAGAAATACTTGGTTACCAAAATAAGCTAGGGGAATGACATGAAAAGCCTACTAAACTTACTGACCTTGCTCATCAATTGTCCATTTAGAATAATAATATATGCTCCAGCCCTGAATTCTATGCAGATACACGACTTTCAAACCCAGATCTCGTTTCAAGGTAACATCCAAAAAGTATCTTGATTTCACTGTTTGGGTGAGATGCTAGCAACAGCCAATTCCTTTTCATCCTTGTAAATCTTCTTGCTTTAATAATAAACTTTGATTTACTTTATAGCAGGTGATAGTTGTGTCAAGAAAGTTAATTTCAGCTAACTTTGTAATTTCTGCACTAAATGTAGTCGGGGGCAATAATGTATGAGACTGTGTACCACTTTCCAGCTGCAAATCACTTCAATTTTCCATCCACTTTATTAAGAAATTGGACAGTGTCTTATCTCTCCTAAATGAACAAAGTATAAAAATAATTCCATATGTTGGTAGAGAAATTCACCCTAGCGGAAAAAAAAAAGCTAACTCCCACCTTTAAGATACTAAGAAACTTGTGCAAACAGCATATTGTTCCCTATTGCTCTTCAGATTCTTCTTGTCTCCTAAGGGTAAATCCAGAATCTCACAGTTCCCCTCTGGAGGCTGCCACTCTCATATTCCTCCCTGTCAGCTTTCTTTCCCTCCTGTTTAGTTTAGTGTTTAATTCACTTATTTACCAGCTTTTCTTCTGTAATTTCATAACCAGACACAACACACACTTTCCTGCCCCTAACCACTCTTCACTTTAGCACACAAGAACTCTCACTTTCAGCCTGAGCTGTTTAACCTGAGACAAGAAACAATGCAGAAGAGACAGAGAAGCTTTGTTTTGTTTGGGTTTTATGGGTTTTTTCCCTTTTTATTGCCCCACAGGACTTGCTATGATTAAAATACATAATTAGGCAAGAACACGACAGTATCGTCAATGGAAAGGGGCCAAATGTTCAGCTGTCATTGAATACTCCTGATACACAGCAGCTCAGGAATGTACAGAACAGATTGTTTACTGCACAGCTTAACCAAAAAAAAACCACCTGAAATAACAGGAATAAATTATATTCTTCTGCTTAGCCCTATAATCCTTGCATAATAGCATGCTGAGGAAATTAATGTTAAATTGTAAAAGTATTTTAAATTCCTATGCTTTCTGTGGTACTCATGCCATTCCATATTTGTAGGATGTGTCTTGGAAAATTCAGTAGGAAAAACTTGGTCATTGTATTTCCCTATGGCTCTCAACATGAAGCAGAACCTATAAGATATTAAATCCATAATGATTAAGTACTCAACCTATACAGGATTTTGAGGTGCAGCACAGTTGTCCATAATGTCACACATAAATCAGTGTTAGCATTCAGTTCAAAGACAAGTATAAGATTAGAATAATCTTTGCAACAAACAAGCAAACCCATCCCAGTATTGCAAACCACCAAGTAAACTGGTTGCCTCTACTTTTACAAGTACTTCCTATAGAATAGTTTTGGAGTATTGGCAGGAACCATATTTCTGCAAGGACATTGCCTTAAAGAGGAAGGAAGTGAAGGTTAGTTAAAAAGGGGAGCAAGATTATTTTTTAAAAAGGATTTCTGCAGGTGGTGCTTTAACTTGCAATGAGTCCCTTGAAGGGAACCCTGATGTAAGCAAACCTGCTGATACTACAAGAGAGCAAAACACAATTCATCTGACATTCCCAGGACTAAGGCACAGAATACTTATAAGTATCCTATTATATTTTATGGCTATGGAAGATTTTTTAATTTTATTTTTAACTTGGCACTTTTTTTTGCTATATACAGATCAAGGGTGATTTGTTGAAAGATGAAACTTGACTTCTGAGGTCAAACAGTAGGTCTGAAGGAGATGAGAGGCAGCTCAGCTGATGTTGACCCTCCCCCCATCTGGAAGGGGCAGAATTCTTCGGCTTTTTTGCAGGCTGTCGGAGACACAGGCTTGTATCACTTCTAAACAGAAACTGCTTGGTTATCATATGAATCAGAAAGTCTCTCCCTATTACTGTTCTCCTCTCTCTCTTTTTTTTTTTTTTTTTTTTGGTCTGTCCCCCTTTTTCTCCCTAAATTCTCCATTTTCTTGGGAAGAATATATTTTCTGGCTTTATAGGGCTTTTATGGCTAAGAGTGACTGGTTCACGTATACCTTTCAGCAACAAAGTAATTGCTCTCTTAATCTATATCTGTAAATGATAATACCTGTGTGTGTAGACTAGGTTAGTTTCAAACTAGCACACTTGGTTCATGGATGTTTTGCCTGTCAATGTTGGACTATGTTGGTTTATGTTATTTTTACCATTCCAGAAAGTTAGCCTATCACTCTACTATTAGAATGTCACTAAGTGTTAGAGTAAGTATGTATCTGTTCTGATATTTGCTTAATACTACAGATACTTTAGAAATAAAATACATTTCCTTATGTAAACCACAAATTTCCTACAGAAACACCAAAATAGTGTAGTATAGGCATACAACAGATTATTTAGTCTATTAAAATTTTAGGGTACAATCACGCATGCATTATTCTGCATAACAGAAATGGATGGATAGATACAGTATTTCATTTTTAAAGCTTCTGACAAACATACACAGGAATCAAGCGAGTACTTTAAAAAAAAAGGAACAGCAGAATCTACATGCAAGAAATTACTTTGTAAGATCCTTCAAATTTTATTACTTTCAATAATAAACTAAAAAATATTGCTGTCATCTTCATATTTTTGTAGCCTCCTTAAAATTCAAGGTTTTTTAATTTAACTTCAGGGACTGCTCTAAGCAGTACAAACTGGATTCTGCTAATACTTTAAAATTTAATCTGAAATTGCTTTTATGAAGCATTTGAATTATTAAGTCTTTGTTGTTCAGAAAAAGGTTCACCAGAACTCCAAACTTTACATCATTATATTTTCATTACAGGACAAAAACAATTAACTAACTTCTTAGAATCAGTTTTGCTCAAGAATTCATTGGGTATTTCCAAATTCACCTTTCAAACCAAACATGAAGAAAGGTGTGCCTAATTCTGATCACATCTTATTCACACAGGTGAATACAGTGTGAAATCATTTCCATATGTTTTGGGGACTCAAATGTATATAAAACACATTGCTGTATTGCAAAAACATTAGATTCAGCAATAAATTAAAGTCTTGAAGCTGATACTTGTATGACACAGTAGAAAAGACACATTATAGCACCAAAAAAAGTATTAACACGTCAGCATTTTAAGATCAGATTGCCCTCTGGTTTTTATAACACTATCATTCTCAAAGCAAAAAAAAAAAAAAAAAAAAAAAAGAGCTAAGGAAGCATTCTATTAAATAAAAGTTCATATGATCTGAAGTACAAAAAGTCTTTTGGGTAACTGCTTGGATGCCACCTCTAAGAATAGAGGTAAAATCTTCGCCTTGTGGAATTCAAACAATATGTTGCCATTGACTTAAATCAAATTATTTCATTTCAAGACTTTATGTGCTTTTGGGACAGAAGAGGATCATTGCTACTTATGTTGTTAAAAATACACTGATATATATAGATATATATATATATATAGATATATATAGATATATATGGAGATATATATCAGTGGAAGAAAAAAGATGACAAGGCAAGAAAATTTTATTTCAGAAAACCTGTCTCATGGAGATACCATGATTGCTGCCTGGTGCCAAAGGAAAAGGATCTTGCATCCACTATTTTGGAACTGCTGACAAGCTGTCCTTTTGAAATTTAAGCACATAAAGGCAGAAAATAATAAAATTATAAAAAGGACTAACTTGCTTTGGAATATCACACACAAATAGACTAGGAGGTAACAAAGAAATTTCATACAGGAGAAGAACTAATATTGATATAATGAGTAGAAAGCATTTATGAAAATCAAGAAAAAAACTAACACAAAAATGACTCCAGTCTGAGAAGACACACACATTAGGAGTGCAAATGATATTAATAGAAACAGAACTGCCACAAAAATTATCCAAGATGATACTGAAGACAGGATTTGACTGTTCAAATGGAAAAGCTCTCTGACCAGCAGGTGCTGGGTGGTAAAGGTGACAATAGCAGTTCTACTGCTTACAATCAATTTATGACAGGATTCTGAAAACAGTTAACCAGTAACTTTAAAAGCCAATAGGGCACGTTCTGTGGGACTCTCTTTTCCCATACATAAGCCATGGCATATCTGTTACATGGTTAGAAGCTACAAAACTTTGCAATAATAGTTTCCAAAGCTGGAATCCTGGTCAACTTACTTTAATGGCAAAATTCTCATTGATTTCAGTGCAGCCAATACCTTCCCTAGTGTATAGTATTACATTACTTAAGCTACATAACCAGCTCTAGAGATACTATCCCAATTACATGGTAATTTGAACTACGATTACTATGTAAACTATAGCTTGTAAATTGCTATTACAGTTACATCATTTTTTTCTGTCCTGTGATGCTCATAGCACATTAAATGTAAAAGTCTCAACCAAAAACTGAACTGTTCTCTGCAGAATGTTCGTTACAGCTCTTCCTCAAATTTAAAATGGAATACTGTCACGTAAAATGGGTAGATACTGTGCAATTAAAGTTGATGTTGGCAAGAATAATAACACCAAACAAGCCAAAGTAATACTGTTTGGCTTTTTCAAACACTGTTTTTTTCATTTGTAATTTTATATTTCAGCTTTTTCTTTGATTAAATACAATGTTTCATGTCTTAATGTGAAAATGCTGAGTGCATACAGTCTTTTATTAGAACCGAACTGTTTTTGTCATATGGACTTTTGATAATAGTACCAGTCACACCCTAGGTACTATTATTCACATAATCAACTTAAACCCTTAAGGTAAACTGCATAAATTAGAAGTTATTTAAGTTTGAAGGATCAAATAAAGTACTGCAGAAGGAGGAATTACAATGCAAAGCAAAGTGGGAAAAATAAAAACAACAAAAAAATAAAATCAAAATCATCTGCATGCTTAGTTTAATGGAGAAGTTGAGGACCTAAAGGCTAGGATGTTTGTTTTCTTAGAAACACTAAGTGCACCTATTCAACATATTTTATCTTCTTAAAATGGCCTTGAAGTCCACAAAGTTCATTTATTTGGATACAATGAATAAAACATCGTGACCATCCAAGAAATTCTGCAAAGCTCCACAGAGGAAGAGCACAACACAATAAGGTGATGGATCCTCATGCTTTCATATGTTACAGCGGGCATTTAAGAAAGAACTTACTGGATTGTACATCTGATTGAACAACTGTTCAGCTTGCTACATTGCAAAGTTGGGAGGGAGTGAAGCACAGACAGGAAAAGAAGGAAAGATTCAGGAAAACAGCATTAGCTCAACAAAACCCGTGCATTTGCACAGAAGAACTTGTCATAAGAAAGTAGAAATTTAAGATTCTAAACATTCCTTGGTGAAAGTGAGAGGCACTAGGGAAACATAAATGTTGACTTTGGCTCCTAAAAAGAATAGCTGGAGTAAGAAATTTAAGGTTTGTGTTACTTTCCTTTTCTCAAGTTAAATAACCCATGAAATAAAGAAAGGTGTCCACTTTTGATGATACATTAAGTGCTGGTCTCGAGCAATGAATCACGAGAAGTGCTTTTGGCTGAGGATCCAATTTATCACCAAAGCTTCAAAGATGGTAATAATGAAAGATTAATTAAATGGTATCATTAAATTTATTACTTTCCTTTTGTTTAACACACGACTGAATTTTCTATGCAGAATGACATTCGAAGAGTACAGCTTGGCAAAAAGTACATTAGCAACTGCAAATGTGTCAGTAAGCAAGTAAATTTAAGATAATGAAAAATAACAAAAGGAAGAAATTCTAGAGTGGATAATAGGATTATATATATAGACACATATATATTTAAAACACTTAGCTACCTATTAGGTAATTCC